TTATTTACTATTCACTCTTGCTAACCGTCATCGGCTTCTCTGCCATTGGACTCTTCCAGTTCTCATCATCACTACCAACAATACCCGTCATTATACTGCAACCTGGATTTTGTGGTTCATATGCGCTAATAGAAGTGGAATTCAATGTAGGTCTGGAAACTTTCCTCTCTGCTGGTACATATATCCTTTCTCGGTTTTCTTTTCATCTCTTGAAAACACCCAGTATCAGAGTGCAGAGAAAATGATGTAGGAATACGAAACATCTAATCAAGTGTGACCCACATGAGTGGTGTGGCCTACTTCTTTTTATCTTTATCTTTCCCCTCTAGAAGTAGATATTTAGCTCTATTTCGGGATATTTTCTATCGTCAATGAAGCTCTGAAGAAATAGAAATCACGTCGAGGTTTGACTATTGCTGAAGCATCTTCAGAACAGCCTTGAACCAACCCCATGTATGTGCATTCACTAATTTATCGACCATTTCGTTTGCTGTCCGTCTCAGAGAAATCCTCAAATCATTTCCTTTCTCTTGATGTTATCATCTGAAATTATCCTTGGGAATAATAATAATAATAATAATAATAATAGTTGAGCTGTGTTGAGTCGAGAGTAAACAGACATTAACATTCCAACATTTTGCACACCTCTTTGCAAAATAAGTTAGTACAAGTTCTTCCTCCTTACGACTCATTTAAAGCAGAGGAATGAGTTCATAGAGTGTTTCGGTTAAGTATTGTCTTTACAGGTTTGATTCATAGCTTGAAACCGGATTCATAGATATATATGTAACCAGACTTTAACCAAGTGAAATTTCAACCAGTTGATGTGACAACATGCCGAATAAGTCGAACCCGCATGAAAGATAATAATAATAATATTATATTCTCAGTTTCTGTACATGACGGACACCAGTCAACAGGTATCATAAATATGACAGATAACATATACGAGGAGTAAGCATATCTACAATTATTCACTTACAGAAGATATATATAGGAATAGGTAATGGAATAATAGATATAATGTCAATTTACACAGGCAGAAGCGATGTGCACAGTATAATACAAAGACGGAATAGCTGAAGCACCGCTTACATCCACTAGCAAATATAGTAACATAGAAAAGACTAGTCAGAACCTGATGAAATCTAAAGTGACCGACCCTACAAAGGAGGGCAAGCAGCCAAAGACCAAACGTAAGTCTCAGGTCAGTCAATCGAATTCCCTTAGCCTGTTTAATGATAGTGTGCATTGATAGTTTGCTTGAACAGATGGCCCTGTTTGATCAGGAACACTGGTTCAATTTGCGCAATAAATTAGGTTTGAACATCAATTAGGCGAAATTGTGCAGGCTTTACGGGCGTGTTCAGGCACCTCAAGGTAAGCCACTTCCATTAAGGCTGACACTGGGCTCTTCCGAAGAGGCTGAACTAATACTGTTACCGGCTAAAGTATTGGCTATCGACACGAGTTCCAACATAAGAATAAGGCATGACAGGCCATCGACTAACAGCCAAATATCGAGGGAGTCACCGGAACTGATGTTCTCTCCGTCCACGATCATACACTGTGTTCCAGAGCTGGAAACTGGCACTGCTTGTGAAGAACACATGCATGACGTACACTAACGGGGATGGCTGTCATCTCAGATGGCGCTTAATGCTTCTGGAGAAATCTCAATTTTCCGGCCACTTCGTCCCTCTCATCTCACACTGATTTGCGCCCCCCCCTCCCCCAAGGCTGCTAAGTGTAAAATTCAACTCCCAGAAACAGTTGGCTCTAGTACTTCAACAGTGGTACGAGACCAAGGAAAAAATAGGAGGAGACATCCCATGCTGCGAAAGCAGACCTTGAACCATAAGGAGGCAGCAAACTGAGGCCTTAATACGTCCACAAGCCTCAGTAACACTACAGTGATGCGGAAGTGAGAATAACAGTCAGTGTTACCCGAGTTTCTTACTTGAATTCAAGGAAAAACGACAACAAACCGGTTCCATCGGAATCGGCTACTGCTCAGCACCATCACAGGGATACGGGACTTGGACTATGGCCAAACCACTGTAGCTGGAGATTTCAATGCATCATCCCTGAACCTTGACTCGGAGTATGCTCAGGAAACGTTCGGTCAGCATTGTTATGTACTCGTCGCCAAATTATTATTATGTACTGGTCGAGAATTTAATAGTCCTGACGCAAGAAAGACGGAAATCAGAAGACCACTAGGTTTGCGATGATACTTCTATTTTCCAAACACAAGGAGAATCAAATCACACAAGAGTGTGCGAGCAAAAATATATATGAATGTCCGAACAAGTGTGTGAACAATCAATAGACAGTCTTAACATGATTGGCTAATTATAATGGAGTATCGATCCGTATATACATAGCAAAATATAGCAGACATGTCAACAAACACACATATTGAATATAATATAAGGGGAATATGCATTGTTAAAGGAGACAGGTTCATCAAAGTGAAATGGTCACAGACTAAGAGAGCAACAGAAAGAGAGACCACCATACATATATATGGATACATATCAAGAATCTACTTCAAACCACAGGAAATACAGGACTGACTGAGAATGTTGGAGACGACGCTAGTTGGGGCCCTGGTTGAAAGCCGTAGAAACTAGATCATATTCTAACTAGTGACCAACTAGTTGTCGAAAAGGTCCAAATAATGACCCCACTAGGAAGTAGTGACCATTCAGTCATAGGATTCGAAATTGTTCTCCATGAGAACTTACAGTGGGAAGCCTAGCGACCATGTCTGAGCTATAACAAGACGGGCTATGCTGAAATGCGGAGGCTTTTGTACGACGCAGAATTTCCCACAGAATGGCATGAGTTATCTGTGGATGAACACTGGGAAGTGGTGAAAGAGATTATTCATACATCAATCTCGGATACAGTCCCTGTAGTCACAACACAGCTGAGAAAATGGTCGGTCCTCAGGGCTGAAGAGAGGTATGCAATAAATTCTACAAGCAAAGCAGAAGGCTTGGTATACGTGGCGAATATCCAATAGTCAGACTGACCGCAATACATATCTGCGACTCAGGAACCACTGCAACACAAGAGTCAGGAATGACGAGAGGTCATTCCCGGTTAACCTTGCCGAGAACCTCCTGGAGAACCCCGAAAGCCTGTACCGATTCATGTCAGAGAGTAAACCAAACAACACGGCGGGCATGCGTCTTAGTAGGCCCAAACGGTCAATACCTCACTAGTCTGGAGATGGCTGAAACATTCAGTTTAGCCTTCGCCAAACAGTTAAACAGCAGTATGGGTATTACTGGTACGGACCGAAATGGAGGCACTACTACTTCACCGGAGGAAAACTTAGTGGTTACTCTCCAAACAAAACTGGCAATAATACTAGGGAAGCTACACAGACTCCCATCTGGAAAGTCCCCAAATTGTGACGATTTCAAGCCATCTGTTCGGAAACAGTGCACCGAAGCTCTCTGTAGGCCCTGATGAGACTTGTTCCAACATTCGATGGATTCGGGGAAACTGCCAAGGGAGTGGAAAACAGCCACCCTTCCTCCTATTTTCAAGGGCGGGGACAGGCGAAATGCCACCAGTTACAGACTAGTAGCGCTACTCCCAGTGGTATAAAAAGTACTGGAAAGTATAATTGGTGATCACATCAGGGAGCACCTCGATGGGACCAGTGGACTCCATGAAGCACAACATGGTTTGAGGAAAGGCATATCCTGTTTAATAAACCTACTATCAGCTTGGAACGATTGGACAACATGTTGGGATATGAATATTCCAATCCATGTGGTCTTCCTAGACTTCGAGAAGGCATTGGACACAGTTCACCATGACCTTCTCCTACACAAAATAAGTCAGGCAGGTATAGGTGAATTGAATGAAGCAACAAACAATCAATGAAACTTATCGCGTGCTATTACACGTGTTGCAAATTCCTTCTTTCTTCCCTTCCCGATGATAGTTAACGAATACTGTTTGAACTTGTTAAGCATGACTGTTTTCCTTCCAGAAGAGGTTCTTTATCCGTTCTCTACTTATATACATATACATATATATATATATTTCTCTTCTTTCTTTTTTTTCTTATGATCTGTGTTGTTTTATTATTATTGTGTGGTGCATCCTTCTAGGTGCCATATTATACCAAGTTTTTATGCGTTTAAATAAAAAATAAATAAATAAAAGGTGAGCCACTTCTGTCATGGTTGAAAGACTACCTAGCTGAAAAGAAATTTTTCCCTAACGTAATTAAGTCCGATCATCCTGGCTTAGCTCATCATGAGAAGTGTGCAATGCTCTACCCTAAAGCCACTGGTGGTTTTGATTTCTACCAATGACCTATCAGGCCGTCTAAGCTGCCTGACTCTTCTTCACACTGATAACGCAAAGATTTGGAGAGCAATAAAGTGTTCGGAAGACTCAGATAGACTACAGGCAGACCCAGAGCTTCTGGAAGACTGGGCGGTGGCCAGTGGCATGACTTTCAACCTTAAAAAGTAGGCTGCAGAATGTAAGTTACACCCTGTGCAACGAAAACTTTTCCTGCACAACGTCGGAGCGTGACTTAGGTCTAGTTCTAACGGAAAAATGGACACAAGTGTAAATTACACGGGGGATGTAGCGAGGACATATGTGGTCATGCACTTTACACATAGACAGTTAGGTGCACTCACTACTGAGCTCTTTCTAAGGTTGTGCAAAACATACGCCAGACCATACCTTAAAGTACACAATTTCATTCCCCCCCCGTTGCTTAGAAATGACACGAACCTTTTTGAAAGAGTCCAAAGACGGGTGATGGGTCTCCGAAACAAACTGTATGATGGACGGCTAAAGAAATTAGGCCTATTCTCACTTAGGTACCGTCGGCTCAAGTGGGACTTGATTACTGACGAAAAGATAACAAATGACCTGAATCACCCAAACAAAGGTGTTCTGCCATTGATTAGGTATGGGCTTCTTCGTGGAAATCCCAGAAGGACCCACATGTTTTGGTGTAACAACAGAAGACAAGGGCCAGGCAACAGATCGTTTTATTATGAAAATCAACACGTATTTATACATATTTCAGACAACATTATTATAGACAAGCGCAGTCATCTGATTGGTTGTTTAGGTAGACAAACGCAGGCTTCTGATTGGTTGTTTCGGGATTCCTTGACAAACAGAGTTCTCTATCTGCGAATCATATTTTGCCACGTTAACTTCGCTGTGATTGGTTGTTGACTCAGCCTTGTTCACGGCCCATATTAGTGACCTAGACCTTAACGTAGATTAGTGCCAACCAATCGGCTAGCAGCCTGCTCTCACCACACTCGTCCCCCCGTCAAATACGTGCGACTGAAGTCGGCTTGATCTACTTGGTGCAGGCGTCATCGTTGGCTTGTCTCGCTGTATCCATTTCTGGAGCTCGCTGACGTTCACGCGCCTCTCATTGTTCGCCATTGCGACTGTGTCTGCGTAACCCCATCTCGAAGTGACCATATATGGTCCTTCCCACTTTGGAAACTGTTTGCCTGACCCTGTCGAACATTCGTCCATACTTCGGCCCACACCTTCATATGCTGCTTTCGCCCGACCTCCCAGCAGCGTCTCAAGTAGCAGCTCCATCGCTGACAGATTTTGAACGCCACTCGACTGCGCAGAAGCCTTGAAGTCCTGCCCGAAGATCCATATGTCTCCATCAAAAACTGCAGGGTATAGACTTTTCATTTGTCGGTAGGCAGCGACACCAAATGTAACAACAGAAGACAAGGGCCAGGCAACAGATCGTTTTATTATGAAAATCAACACGTATTTATACATATTTCAGACAACATTATTATAGACAAGCGCAGTCATCTGATTGGTTGTTTAGGTAGACAAACGCAGGCTTCTGATTGGTTGTTTCGGGATTCCTTGACAAACAGAGTTCTCTATCTGCGAATCATATTTTGCCACGTTAACTTCGCTGTGATTGGTTGTTGACTCAGCCTTGTTCACGGCCCATATTAGTGACCTAGACCTTAACGTAGATTAGTGCCAACCAATCGGCTAGCAGCCTGCTCTCACCACATTGGAAAGAAAGGCAACATGTATTTTCTTCAGCGTGACTAAATTATCATACGAGGAAAGACTATACAGTCTAAATCTCGTCGTCCCTGTCATACAGCAGGCAGAGAGGAGATTTAGTTACAATGTTTAAAATTTTAAATAATGACTACGAACCTGACCTATTCTCTCTTTCCCTTCCCACCAGGTCGGAACACCTAAGAGGAAATAGCAGGAGAGTTCAGAAGCCAAGAAGAAACCATATTACTGTGGAGTACTGGTTATCACACCGAGTCACACACTCCTGGAATCGGCTCTCAAAAGAGGTGGTATATGCAGCGTTTGGACAAGCAAAGAAATTTACTAGAAAGAGACTGACATAGGCTCTAAGCCCTCTATCCTCAATCAACAAATCTGGATCGGAAATCTAAAGTGGTGGGAGTGTACATCAAGTTAGTCAATAATCAGTTACAGATTATAGGGATAGAAGGCTCTTGTTGCCTATGTTAATCCTCGCGATTGATATCTCTGCAGAGATCCAGTTTCTCTTTGAAATCGTTCACCAGTGGAGCTGTTACTATGGATTCAAGTAAGGAGTTCCAGTCGTTGACCACTCTGTGAGAGAATCTAAACTCCAACCGTATTTTATTCGACCTCGGTTTGAGCACCTTCTTCTGGTGACCCCGTAAATGTATCCTAGGTGGAGAGAAAAGGTTTGAAAGGTCAATCCCTAAATCACCCTTGAATATACGGTAAGCCAAAATTAAGTCACCTCTGCTCCTTCGGTACGATAATGGGAAGAGATTTAAATGCTCCATCCTATTATCATAAGGAAGGCGTGAGATACCACTAACTAATTCCGTTCCTGCCTTCTGTACTCTTTCCAGAACATGTACCTCCTTTCTGAAGCACGGACTCGCCACTTCTATGCAGTACTCTAGATGAGGCCTGACATATGTTGCACAGAGTACTTGGAACATACCCTCGTCTAATCGCTTCAAAGCCCTTCCAAGTGCCCAATGCATTCGAAAAGCCTTAGCTGCGGCTCGATTAGAGTTTGCCGTTGTTTTTAAGTCATGGCTAACAATAATTCCTAAGTCCTTTTCTTCCCTAACATCTGGAAGTTCTGTGTCTCCCATGGAGTACGATGTGTAAGACTTCTGACCTAGGTGCATTACTGCGCTTTTCTTGGAACTAACTTCCTGACCCCAAAGCTTAGCCCATTCGGTTTATTTGTCTAGATCGTTTTGTAGTACCAACCTATCATCGCTACCATTTACGGTTTTCCATATCTTAATATCGTCCACGAACAGTGAGGAAGATTAGGTAGGAATTTTCGGAACTTCACTTATGTATAATAGGAATAGCAGGGGACCAAGTACAGTTCCCTGAGGTACTCTCGTCTCTCCAACTCATATCATTTATAGGTACAACGTTTTCTTTCTTTCTTTTCCTCTTCTCTTTTTTTCTGTTATGCGCTGTTTTGTTTCTCTCTTACTTACAAACTCAACTTAAAACATTCTTCTTCGTTCTCTCACACTCTGTATACCTCGACCTTTTGTTACCGCTAACGCCAGTAAATATGCTAGCGTCTACTTTTCTAACACCTTCAAGCACTCTGTTCACTTTTGCTTTTGCTACCGATATGCCAATATATTGTGGTCAAAACGAACTGAGATTACCCTTAATCTAAGTAGAATTTTAATTATTGTTAATGTACCAATTGGATGCAATACTGTTATGGGAAAATTTATTTACAGTTATCTTTAAAAATATGTACGTATATCGGTCCGAGCATGACGATGTAGATGCCTGATCATCCTCCTGTGCACCAACTTCATGTAGATAATTGAATACGTGAAGAAACGCACTCCTACATATCCTCGGATGCGTCTGTTGAAGGTTTTTGATTTGATACAGTATGCCTTGTACGAGCATTTGCATGTCCAAGTCCCCGATTGTGTCCGTTGTGATTGGATGACAGTGTGATTGTAGTCTTGTAACCACCTAGTACTGTCTAAATACATCTTTTACAAATTTACTTGAGGCCTATATGAACTTACCCAGACTGGTATATATATGACATTTAGTATGAACTAGATGACGGCATGGCAATAGCACATTGCTGTTTTGAAAACATCTGCAGCTGCAGTCACGTTTGTCCACAACGGAGTTTCTGTCACCTTCGAATACCATAAATGCTTCTGTGCAACCCGTAACTTTCATTTCAGGAAGCCTCTTGATGCTTTTGTAAAGTGTATAGGCGGTATAGCTTGCTAGATGCCTCAGAATGTTGGAAAGACCTTCGTCCACCTAAAAAGATTACAGGCTACAACTATACGACTTACATCAAACTTAGTGAAGTAATGCAGATTCCGATTCTCTTCACCACCCTTCCTTCGCGATGACCCAATAGAACACTTCCAAATCTCACAAATGCTCAGTTCCAGCGGTAAGCACTTTCCCAGCTGTCTTCAAGTGCTTATGGCAGCACAGGACTCTGCTATTGGTTTCGATGACAACAACGACAATCTCTCTCAAATCAGTCTGCCCACATATTATGCGAACTCCGTAAGTTCTTCTACGATGAAAGCAGTCAATCATTATTAGTAGCACTAGTTTTCTCTCCTGTTTGTTGTAGTTTTATGAGCTATTCAATCACATCTGCCAACAAACACCTACTAATAGTGTATGTTGAAAGTAGATTTAACAATATACAAGACGAATGTTTCTGATGATCGTTTATGTCGGCAAACGCTTTTTTATACTTATATTAAGAAAGCTTTTTCACTGCTTTTTATGTTCATCAATTGATGTGTGGAGAGTAACTACTAAAAGCACTTGTGATGCCCTAATGACCGGTCGATAGGTCCATTGTGGTCAATTATAAAGTGAGTCAACGAGCGAATTGACTGATTGATGTCATCTCTGTGACTGTATTAGTGTGTGATGCGACTTGGAGTCATCTGTGAAGAGAATCAGTGCCTAGTTGAAGACACACTTTGGTAACGGGTAGCAATAAGGACAGAAGCTACATCAACAGTTTTACGTCGATTACCTCCGACGAGTCTTGAGATAACTGTATATATACACATATATATATATATGCATGTCAGGTGTCCTATGCAGTGGAAGTTAGTTACTTGTACATGGTGTTTGTATGCAGATTAAACTAGAAGTCGTAGATGCTACGTGAGGCGGTGGATTTATGGTATTGCTTAAGACCTGAGTTACATCTAGATCATTTCTAATATGAATTTTCAATAATGATTGTAGAAGTAATTCCAGGGTGTCTGTCCTATTATTATTCTGATGCTTGATTTTTGTCTTTTACATTTTCATTCTTTTAGCATGTACTATGTGCGTCGGTGGCACAGCGGTTAGCATGCTCGCCGACCATGCACATGGTCCGGGGTTCGATCCCCGACCGACTCATTCCTTTACCTCACTTAGCCAGGAGTAATGCTGGTAAAGAGGGAAGGTTGGGCATGATGCTAGCAACTCCATCCTATGAAAATAAACACTGCAACAGAAACTTCAAGCCTCTTGCTTGAAGCCCTATATTCCACTGGGAATGTGAAGGGAATAAATAAATAAATAGCATGTACTATAGATTATGAAGCTAATGAGAGTCTTGTGAATTGGTCGTTTCGCACACGAATTCATTGTTTTCGGACATTATAAAGCAACACTAGTGGATCAGTAAAGATCAGACCTGTCTGGGGTATTTTGCCTAGTTGGCATGTTACGCTGAGTCAAATACCTCAAGAAAATTGGGTTGGTTTAGTTGTCAGATCTATTCACCTTGAAGATAACGGTCCTGGTGTGTTTCCGATTTTAGAAGTGTGTTTAGAAACTCCTGTAAGTTGTTATGTGACGCGGTATTTAGCTTCGAAACTTTGTAACACCAAAAGTGTTGGAGAAGTACCAGCAGTGACCTACTTAGATTTCTACAGAACGAAGTGTCTCCTGATGAGAAGCCTACCCATTAATATGTATCGATGGGTAGGCTTCTCATCAGGAGACACTTCGTTCTGTAGAAATCTAAGTAGGTCACTGCTGGTACTTCTCCAACACTTTTGGTGTTACAAAGTTTCGAAGCTAAATACCGCGTCACATAACAACTTACAGGAGTTTCTAAACACACTTCTAAAATCGGAAACACACCAGGACCGTTATCTTCAAGGTGAATAGATCTGACAACTAAACCAACCCAATTTTCTTGAGGTATTTGACTCAGCGTAACATGCCAACTAGGCAAAATACCCCAGACAGGTCTGATCTTTACTGATCCACTAGTGTTGCTTTATAATGTCCGAAAACAATGAATTCGTGTGCGAAACGACCAATTCACAAGACTCTCATTAGCTTCATAATCTATAGTACATGCTATTTATTTATTTATTCCCTTCACATTCCCAGTGGAATATAGGGCTTCAAGCAAGAGGCTTGAAGTTTCTGTTGCAGTGTTTATTTTCATAGGATGGAGTTGCTAGCATCATGCCCAACCTTCCCTCTTTACCAGCATTACTCCTGGCTAAGTGAGGTAAAGGAATGAGTCGGTCGGGGATCGAACCCCGGACCATGTGCATGGTCGGCGAGCATGCTAACCGCTGTGCCACCGACGCACATAGTACATGCTAAAAGAATGAAAATGTAAAAGACAAAAATCAAGCATCAGAATAATAATAGGACAGACACCCTGGAATTACTTCTACAATCATTATTG